GTTGAAAATCCGGATCTTGTTCCGTATGCTGAGTGCAGAAGATCTCCACACTGGTTTCAGGCTAATGAACGTCTGTCTTGCTTTTCCGATTCTGACTTTGACGTCCTCGTCCGTCCCGCCTGTAGTTGAAACAGTGCTTCCTAGATAAGTGAAGGAGGTTACTTCCTTCAAGTTTCTCCCGTTGACGGTGATTGGAGTTTGTTGTTGTTGTTGATGGTGGTGGTGCGGTATCTTCATCACCTCTGTCTTCTCTATATTCACCTGAAGTCCCGTCTTCGCTGCCTCTTCTATCAACTTGTTAGTTTTTGCCTGCAGATCTTCAAGTTTGTGTGACATTAGGCACAAGTCATCGGCGAAATCCAAGTCTTCTAGGTTCTTTTCCGTCGTCCAGTGTATCCCCCTCTTCTCGCTGCCTACTGTTTGCTGCATGATCCAGTCCACACACAATCAGGAATATCATGGGGGATAGTAGGCAACCTTGTTTCACTCCTGTCTTCACTTCAAAGGCATCACTGAGCTTCCCATTGTGGATTACTTGGCATGTGGCATCTTCATATAGTTGTTGAATGAGGCGGATAAAGGTTTGCGGTACTCCGTAGTATTGAAGCAGTTTCCAAATTACTTCTCGGTCGACGCTGTCAAAGGCCTTCTCAAAGTCGATGAAGTTGAGGTGGAGAGGTGATTGCCATTCTATGCTCTGTTCTATGATGATACGAAGCGTTGCAATTTGGTCTGCACATGATTTGTACTTCCTGAAGCCTGCCTGTTCCGGTCGCAGTTTTGAATCCAGTGCATCTTTAAGCCTCTCCAGGATGATGCGGCTTAATATTTTACTTGGGGTGGACAGGAGAGTGATTCCGCGCCAGTTCTTGCAAGCACTGAGGTCTCCCTTCTTCGGCAGTTTGACAAGGTAACCCTTCTTCCAATCGTCAGGTACCTTCTCTTCCTTCCACACCTTCTGCAATAGTGGTGTGAGCATGTCCGCTGTTGTCTCTGCATCTGTTCTCAGTGCTTCTGGCGGGATTCCATCTGGTCCTGCTGCTTTCCCACATTTCAGTAGCTTTATGGCGTTCAGGACTTCCATTTTCGTTGGGGGATTAATGTTCACTTGTAATTCAGCGGCTGCAGGTGGTATTTCTGGACGAAGTGCAGGTGGTGGTCGATTCAAGAGCTTCTTGAAGTGGTCGGCCCATCGTTTCCTCTGTTTCTCTTCTTTTGTAATTAAATTTCCTTCTTCATCTTTTATTGGTTTCATCTGTGTTGGTCTCTTCCCTGATAGCAACCTGGTTATTTGATACAATGTCGTCAGGTCTCTCTTACCTGCAGCCTGTTCTGCTTCACTTGCCAGTGTTTCGTAGAAGTGTCTTTTGTCTTTGCGTGCACTCTTCTTCACTTCTTTGTCCAGTGTTTTATACATTGTGCTCAGTTCCTCTTGTCGTTGAGCATCCTTGCACTGGTTTATCTTCTGCTTCACCATCCTCCTCTCCTCTATCAGCTTCCAGGTATCCGTCGAGATCCATTCCTTGTCTTCTTTCTTCTTCCTTCCTAATACTGCTGTTCAGGTTTCTTTCCACATAGCTTTCAAAGACTTCCAGTGTTCTTCCACACAGGTTTCTTCAGGGATGTTGCTCGATGTCTCCCATTTTGTCTTGATGGCTGCCTTGAAGATCTCCTTTGTAGTTTCATCCTTCAGTTTCCGAGTGTTGTACTTGAATTGAGGTCTATCACCAGCTTCCTTGAAGGCTTTTAACTTGATTTGGAAGGTTCCTTGCACTAGATAGTGGTCTGAACCTACATCTGCTCCTCTTCTTGACCTTGTGTTAAGTAGACTGCGTCTCCATTTTCTTGAGATTGAGATAAAGTCGATTTGATTTTTAGTGTGTCCATCTGGTGAAATCCATGTCGCTTTGTGGATATCTTTGTGCCTGAACACACTGCCTCCAATCACCAAATCGTTGAATGCACAGAATTCTGCAAACAATTCTCCATTCTCATTCATTTCACCTAGCGCCTCTCGACCCATGGTTAGTTCTCTTCCTGTGTTGTCCCCTCCCAGTTTGGCATTCATGTCGCCCATTAGAATTTTGATATCGCCAACTGACGTCTTGTCCAGTGTTGATTGAAGTTGTCTGTAGAATTCCTCCTTTTTCTCTTGCTCTGCATTATTTGTAGGTGCATAACATTGTATGATTGTGACCTTTCTTCCTTTTGAGTTGAATCTTGCTGTCATGATCCTGGAGGAGATTGGTTCCCACTGCATGAGAGCCTTCGATGCTCTTGAGGACATCATGATAGCCACTCCATAACTCAGTGTGCTCGTGGTTGGCGTCTGGGTGACCGGAGTAGATTATTGATTCTCCAGTTGACAGTTTGGAGAGTCCACTTCCATTCCATCTGCTTTCGCAAATCCCAAGCACTTCGATGTTATACCTTCTCATCTCCTTTGCAATCTGGGCTGCCTTACTGGGTTCAAACATCGTGCGGACATTCCATGTCTCCACGTTTACTTTCGCTTTCATTGAGAGAGAGAAGACACATCGGCCAATTGGCTTCCCGAAGGCTTTCACCAACTGGCGTCATTTCGCCTCTCCGATTCCAGCGGGGAATAAGTTTGTTTTCATTTTTTATATTTTGTTTGTGCTTTGAAGTTTGTTTAGCGGTTAGATTTGTTTTACGGGGTAGGGTTGCTAGCCCTATGCCCAACCTTCCCTCTTTACCCGGGCTTAGAACCGGCTAGTAACTAGTAAACTAGTTAACCAGGCGAGGTTAAAAATAATACACTATAAATACACTATAAATAGTTTTCAAGTATTGAACATTATAGTTGGTTCATTTTGGATTTTTCTGTATTGTAGAATTAGCTTCACTCAACCAAAAGATTCTATATATCCTCAAAATCTACTCCTAATAGCGTAAAGTTAGGAATCTATCTCATGGGCACACTTCAATGCAGTATGCAGCATCAATCATCAACATTTTCTCATTGATTGTTGTCATGGTTGGATGTGATGGTTCGAGATGTGATCGAAGTGTGACAAATGGTCACTATTGGATGACCGATACAAAAGTCTAGTCCTTGACCGAAATTTATCTACTAAGTCTGAAGTGTTGCCACTAAACTAAGTGAAGTGGTACTACAGTGGGCGTTGCTGATAGGAATGAATAAAAGTAGTATATGTTGAGAGGGTGGCAGGAATCATAGGAAATTAACAGTAATGTGTAAGGATTCTGCCAAGAGCAACGCAAGGGAGAACACCGGCGTATTACAGTGTATGTTGATAAGAATGTATAAAGAGCAAATCAAGAGAGAAACAGAAGAGGAAACGAAGCACATTTTGCAAATAACGGACTAAGTGCAAGGTGTACCATATGTAATGACTACCGTTTCAGATGGTGGGGACGAAGACTCATTTCTGTCGTGTCTGTCTTCTTTCTTTTCAACTGCTGACACTGTTTCTGGATGTGATGAAGATTCCGTGGCCTGCAGTACTCAAGGATGGAGACACCAGGGTCTTTCTCAAAAAATTCAAGTCGGTGTCGGAGCTGATGGGGGTCCCGGGGCGAAGGTTGTGGTGCTGGGCACATTGCTGATGGCTAGAGAGAAAGCAGCGTGCTACTACCATCCACTACCAGGAAGCCTTGGTTCCTTAGGGTTCCGCATACGTTATTCCATCCGGAAACTAACGTTTCTTTGGTTATGCTGAAACTAGAGAATATACAGCTAATGCATTCACTCTGCAATGACCACCTGTAGAAATGAACTAAGTATACAAATTTGTGATGATAGGTATGAAACTTAGGCTCAACGCTACCTGTCAATTGACTTCTGACCTCTGGTCCAAATGTTTCATTAGTTGGCGGTAAGCTTCACTTCTACTGATGCTTTTGTTTTAATTCAAATTGAAAGTTTCATTATCGCCGATCGATATTGCCCGCGCTCATAGTTTTGCTCTACTGATAGTTACCTTTTGGCTACAGATATGAAAAGTACACAGCCCAGCTACATACTTGAAAATTCTATCCAATAGTCAGAGAAAGTATGAGTGGTCTTGTATTCATGCTGGCAACTGGTAATGGGATCCAGGCCGCATATTCCTTCCTATTTGAGACTCATTAGCTATATGTACCTGCACCCAAGTGAATGATGTCGTTCCCTCTGAGACTCGAATTCAGTACTCATCACTTCAAGCACCGAAGTATCACACACTAAACCAGTAGAGCGCGAGAACTACCTCGTGTATGAATGGTTATTTGTAAAGTGGTTGAGTGAATTAATAATAAAGATAAGAACGATAATAACGCAATGAGACACTTGGACTGGGTACGAATATAGATTGTTCTCTCTCAGAACTCTATTTTTCACTGAGCCATAAAAACCAGAAGATGAGAGACTGGTGTGTGATTGTAAGGAGGACACTTTATTTGACAAAATCACACCAGTTATATACAATTTTCATAAACATATAAAACCACAAGGTCAAAAGTTGGATGTTTATTTTGATTGGTCAGCTGCATGATAAATTATCCAGTAAGATTTTTGCTGACCACACAGTAACATGAAACAAAAGGTGAAATCTAAAACTTCTGTTTTAGCGGCTGGTAATTTGAAGTGACTCTTATGATAAATTATCAAGATAAAATTTTATCTTTCACTAGGAATCAATTCTATTTTCGATTCTCTGCAGAACCATAGTTATTAAGCAGCTACTTCTTCAAACCCCTGAGCTTGATGATATCATTTATCTCTATGGATTTGTATGTCTTGAGCTAGTTTATAAAAAGGATCTGAAGAGGATATGATGACAGGACGCTTTTGAAAGAGAGAGAGAGAGAGAGAGAGAGAGAGAGAGAGAGAGAGAGAGAGAATGAAACACAGAACTACTTATTTGTTCTTCAATTCAAAGTTTCTTTGGCCGCCTACTTGAATAGTGGAGTGTATAAATCATTCTTAGTGTAGGACTGTTCAACATTTCCAGTTTCGATGCATTATTTTTTCTAAAATGGGAGTAGTAAGTGAAGTCGAAAAACAACTGTTCCTTACATGATTTAACAGAACTATGCAGTGATTACCAACCAGGAATAGCACTAATTTGTCTTTTAAAGTCTTCTAAAAACTAACAGAAATCAAATATCGTGAGCTAACAGAAGTTGGAAATATGGAGCATCGGATTGTGACCCAATGGCTCAATGGTAACGCGCTGGTCGCGGAACCTGAAGGTCGCAGGTTCGAGCCCTGCTGGTGGGGTCCTGGGTGCGCACTGCCGAGGAGTCCCATACTAGGACGAAACAGCTTTCCAGTGCTCCCAGGTTTCCTTTGTTCCTCCAACTTATGTCAGTCTATGATGAATAACAACTTGAAAGAAATCAAACGGTTAATTGTATCAACTGTATTATCCCTTAGCAAGTGTGACCTATGAACCTTATCTATATCAATGATTCCCAAAGTTGCAGGAAACAGTAACTTCTTAAGGATACACTGATAGTGATAGATTGCTCTACATTGCGAACTACTAGAATATTATGGTGACATCTACTGAAACAGGAGTTTTGTGTTGTATAGAAGGTTACTTTGTAGTGATGTAAACTTTTCTACTATACAGATAAATGTGATTAGGAATTATTTTTGATGCAATAACAATAATAATCATAAGGAACTGAAACTCACTGTGGATTAATCAACTGGACAATGATTTTAAAGATAAATAGGTTCAATATGAGGCGAAAGCACTCAGCTATTCATGCTATATAGAGTGTATCGTCATCAATATGTTTGACTACATTACTTCCACCTCTCTTCCAGAGTTGTTTGCAAGTACACCTTCTTGATGAGTTCCGGTAGATATTAAAGCCAAGTTAAACCTGACCTTCTACAAACTTTGTTTAGCAATTTAACACTAAGCGTAGCTCTTGACGAAATTGAATCCTTTTACTTAATCATCGAATCTTAAGTCTAATCGTTCCATTTCACTTAACGCTTGAGGGTAGATACTATGACGAGTACGACAAGACTTTAGACACATCAAGAATATCGCACCTCTCAATAATTATCCACCTGAATTTATAAGAAATTAAAAGAAAAATAGTAGTAATAATAATAATAATAATACGGGTATTAATAATAATAATTCTACTACTATTAGTAATGATGGTGACAGGGTTGAGAGAGAATTCAAAGCCTCTGCTATGTTGCTATACAAGGAAGGCACCTCAGAAGCATTACGAAGAATTCGTAACAAGTCTGACTGGGATTAAAATGGCTGGCAGTTAAACCAACAAACTCGCTGAGACGAACAAGCTTTGTAGGTTAAAAGGTCTAATCGATGCAATTAAGCAAAATAATCTGGTTTACAAAATCCTTTGCAGTGATTCCGGGGTCAAATTCCATAGGTCTCAGAAGTCAACTAGTCAGGGTTGATTAGAATAACAAAGCACAAAAACTTCGCTACATCAAGATTGGTAGATCGTACGTAATAAGATAAGAAATGTAGAGGAAATCTCGGCTTTAGCTCTGTATGCGATGATGCACAACCACACAGTAGGCTGGAATAGAGTGACAGGATTGAAAAGTAACTTAGTTCGGCGAAGGGAGGGAGTGATTGATAATCGACTGAATCTTTGTTTGAATTCTGAGGGAGTTGTGAGGATTTGGAAATATTTCAAGTAATTATTCATCGTAGACTGACATCAGTTGGAGGAACAAAGGAAACCTGGGAGCACTGGACAGCTGTTTCCTGCTAGTATGGAAATATGGACCATTGGATTCTGATCCAGTGACTCAATGGCAACATGCTATCCACGGAACCTGAAGGTTGCGGGTCCGATCCCTGGCGGGGTGGGGTCCTGGGTGCTCACCACTGAGGAGTCCCATACCAAGAGGAAACAGCTTTCCAGTGCTCCTAGGTTTCCATTGTTCCTCCAACTAATATCAGACTATGATGAATAACAACTTGAATCTTTGTTTATCGAATCAACTCATATTAAACATGTGCACCCTTGTCATTACAAAGAAGGAGAAAGAATTAGGGACTGTATAAACTCTGTATGAAGGTTGTGAAGTTACATGACTTGATAGGAATATGGACAGTAAATTGTCTCTGAAACGTGGTTATCCAGTGAACTGATACAATCCCTTCACTGTATGTGACATTTCTAATCGTAAACAGACTGAAATGGAATTATAGTCGATCACATACACTGAGAAGGCCGATTGGGGACATCACGCATCAGGCCAGGGAGTCGAGTGGAACCCAGATGGGAAACGACAAGTTGGGCTTACGATGGTGACACGGGGGAGATCGTGCGAGGAGGAAATGAGAGGTTATGGGCTGTCGTGGAGGCAAGTTGAAAAGATTTCAGTGAACAGAGAGTATTGGAGACATGCTACTGAAGCCGAATGTTCCATTAGGAACCCAAGGGAGAAATAATAATAATAATAATACATTGCCCAATTTCAACTCCGATTGGTTATTACAAATTTTCAAATGTTTAAATATTCTTTTTTAAATAGTTTTCAAGTTTTTCAACTCTATTTCAAACCAATATATTTATTCCTTAGTTTTATTTATTTATATTTTAGGCATATGGAATAGTTTGGAAAGCAATTAATCGTAAAACAAAAGAAGTTGTAGCATTAAAGAAAAATTTTGATGCATTTCGTAATCAAACTGATGCACAAGTATGAATTAAGAATTTCATTTCCATTTCCCCCCCCCCCCACCCTCTTCTTTTTTTTCTATCTTTAATTTGTTTCTTTTATAGAGAACATTTCGTGAAATTGCATTTCTTCAAGCTTTTAGTAATCATCCAAATATTATCGGTTTATACAATGTTATCCGAGCTGAATGTGATAAAGATATCTATCTTGTATTTGAATATATGGGTAAGTTAAGATTACTAATTTATACTACTTATATTATATTACAGAAACAGATTTACACAATGTTATACGTAAAGGGAATATTCTTAAAGATATACATAAACAATATATTATGTATCAATTGTTTAAAGCGACTGCATATCTTCATTCTGGTGAAGTGATACATCGAGATTTAAAGGTTAGTTGTAAAATTTGCTTCAATATATTAAACTGGAATAAAACAATAAAGGAGAACATTTATACTATAAGAAAAGTGTTCAAGTTGAATCAGATTACTGTTCACTGGTATCTACTATGAATTCAATTTAAGAGTTGAATAACTGATGAGCTAGTTATCTACCTAGTGTTAAGTATAAAACTTTGGCTCGGTGGTACAATATACTTCCAATAATTAGATTTGTTTATTTGGTATAACTGATGAAAAGAGCCTTGAAGATTTGGATTTCGCCACCAATGACTTGTGTTTAATGTCACACAAACTCGAAGATCTACAGGCAAAAACTAACAAGTTGACAGAAGAGTCAGTGAAGATAGGACTTCAAGTGAATACAGAGAAGACAGAGGTGATGAAGATATCCAACTAACACCACCACTAACAACAAGCTCCAATCACCATCAATGGGAGAAACTTAAAGGAAGTAGACTCTTTCACCTATTTAGGCAGCATTGTTTCAACTACAGGCGGCACAGGCACACATGAGGATGTCAGAGCTAGTCAGGAACGGAAAGACAGCAAGACAGGCGTTCATTCACCTGAAATCAGTGTGGAGATCTTCTGCACTCAGCATGAAGTGTGAACAACATCCGGATTTCCAACACCAATGCTAGTCAAGTCACTGCTGCTTTATGGTCCAGAGACTTGGCGTGTTACGTAAAGCATTTCCAACAAACTACAGATATTCATCAACAGTTGCCGCCTACGCTCACTTGATACTGAAGATCAGATGGCCAGAACAATAACAAGAAACAACAAGAAACTCACTCTGACAACGAATCAACGAAGCAACAACCTATCGGCCAACAAATATGCAGTTAGAGGAAGTGGAGATGGATTGAACATACACTGAGAAGGCCGATTGGGGACATCACGCACCATGACAGACCCTCAACAAGGAAACCAAATACGAAAAGACGAGTTGGACATCCCATCTGAGGGTGACATGGAGGAGATGGTGTGAGGAAGAAATGAAAGCTTGTGGGCAATGGTGAAGCCAGGTTGGAAAGAGTGTTGAGAAGAGAGTGAAATGGAGACGTCCTACTGAACTGGTATGTTCCACCAGTAACCTAAGGGACAAATAATGATGATAATAAGTGAACAACTTTGAGCTATCTTTTATATAGTCCTAATTTCCTCGTCCCCTTTGTGATATGTGTAGTAGTAAATTTTCCCATACATCCGGAACAGATGCTGTTGACTCCTTCATATTGTTGTATGTATTAGGTGTCGATTTGATAAATAAACATTCAATCATCAATCACTTCGTCTTAAGGATTTTCACCCTTTCCCATCCTATTGTATGGTTGTGTGTAATCACATACATAGTTAGAACCGAGCTTGTTTCTAAATTACTTATCTTAACAAAATCTGTCAATTTTGACCTCGTTGCGACTTTGTGCTTGGATAGCTCAACTGACTCTGTTCGACTACTTTGACTGGTCTGTGTATTTGACCTTCCAACTGCTGCGAAAAATTTGGTAAACTGAGTTACTCTACTGAATTGGATCAGTAGGTTCTTTTAACCGACAAAGCTTATTTAGAAGTGAGTTTGTAGGTTTCAGTGCCACTCTAATCCCAGCCAGCTTTATTGAGAATCCTACGTAGTATTTCTCCGGTGCCTTCTTTGTATGATGGGAATACTGCATAGGTTTTGAACTCTCTTTTCACAGTATTGTCACTTCGATGATTAACTTTATTATTATTATTACTATTAACACCTGTGTTACTAATATTTTTCTTATGATCTCTAAGGAACTTATCAACTAATTTGGGAGGGTAATTGTTCATGAGTAGGGCGTCTTTAATGTATCTGGTTTCTTGTTTTAGATCTCCTGTTTAACCATTAAGTTTTTTGACCCCGTTACTTAAACACTTTACCAAGTAAACTCTAACTGATTGACATAGGGTGAGACCATTTGAAGTCTGAGTAATAATTCGAATGTGAAAGTTGTCTGTACATCCTGGCGTGTAAACTTCCATCTTATTTCCATCCTATTCTGTAATCCAACATCACTAACCCCCTTCACTATTTTCTTATTCATAGATGAAACTGTATTGCATTGAATACTGAATTGATGTGTGTGAATAGACTGTGTATGTGCTCCGATTTTAACAGTGTAAAATGTGTTGTCTATGAAATAATGGAGAACATTTGTACGTCAGGTGGATGGTCTTGGTTGTATTGTGTTCCCTGAGGTGGGTTGTTTAATCGTGAAGCTTTTATCGTCTTTCTGGACGACATCATCAGCATTAACTTCATACTGATGATGTCGTCCAGAAAGACGATGTGTTGTCTATACATCGAAACCATCTTTCTAGACCTAGGATACATTTTTTTAAAGCCATCCATTCCGAACTATCCATTAATATGTCAGCTATAATAGGGGATATTGGTGATCCCATGGCAACTCCTTCTGTTTGTTTGTATATTTTATTCTAAAACCTAAATATTGTGGAGGCCAAGCATATCTGTACTCCTAGTATGATTTCATCCACTGGAACCTTACTTCTTAGTGTACGCTGATGGTCATTATTGAACTCATTTCTAACTTCTTCCAGAACCATGCCAATCAATATCAGTATGCATACTGACTACTTCAGAACTAACCATTCCTTCGTCGTCATTTAATCTATACTTCAGGTCATCAGATATGGCAAGTCTCAATTTAAAACGGTTTTTAACTGAGCCTAGTATCATCGTTAAATATTTAGATAAATCATAAGTAGCAATGATATCTTCATATTACTATGGACAATAAAATACCTCTGGTTGTTGGTCTGGATCGAGCGAGGGTGTTTAAAATTATCTGTTTGGAGTCCCTAACCCTATAGGAGTCAGTGGTTGGAGATCCTTATTGACATGACTGAAATCAGTCACTATGTTACAGATTTATTCATTTTTTTTTTTGGTATCTTCTAAATATTGATTATTTTCACCAACCTTCATGTTGAAATACCTTACTGTTTTTATACCCCTTTGTTCATTTTGATATCAGCCTTTTTCTGGTCACTTGTTCTTTACTTCAGTTTAGGACTTTCTTCTATTTGACTCCTAACACACAACATTGAGTGTAGAAAAAAATGATCAGGGAGTTGTGAAAATTTACGACAAATAACTACGAAAACCTTCAAGACTATGATGTTTTGGAAACTACTGTGTTATGACCACTAAACGATGCACAGATATTGAGTATCAGCCACCAACATCCAACAAATTCCTAGTTGATTCCTGATCCCACTAATTAATGGAGAAGACACGATGGAAGTGTACAAACATGTATTTGGGGTTGAAAAGACCGAAGACCAACTTATTATTATGTCTAGTGATGGACAAACTCGAAGATATACAGGCAAAAACTAACAAATTAACAAAAGAGGTGAGTCGGTGGGGATAGAACTTCAAGTGAAAGTAGAGAAGACAGAGGTGATGAAAATACCCGACCAACAGCAACAAGCACCGATCACCATCAACGCGAGAAACCTAAAGGAAGTAGTCTCTTTCACCTACCACCTAGGTAAGGCAGCATCGTTTCAACTACAGGTGGCACAGGCATAGATGAGGATGTCAAAGCCAGGATCGGAAAAGCATGACAATCCTTCATTAATATGAAATCAGGGTGGAGATCTAGTGCACTGCGCTGCACTCAGCATAAAGGATGAACAAGATCCGGATTCTCAGCCCTAATCTCAGTCAACTCGATGCTTGTATGTGATGGTCGAGAGACTTGGCTCGTTACGAAAAACATTTCCAACAAACTACAGAAATTCATCGACAGCTGCCGTCTGCGTTCACTCGATACTCAAGATCAGATGGCTAGAACAATAACAATAAGCAACAAGAAACTCTGGCTGGCTGGCAACCAACCAACAACCTATCGTCCAACAGATATGCAGTAAGAGGAAGTGGAGATGGATTGGACATTTACTGAGGAGACAATTTGGAGACATCACGCACCACGCCAGACCTTCGAGTGGAATCCAAAAGGGAAACGACGAGTTGGGTGTCCCAGCTGAGGGTGACATGGAAGAGATGGTGTGAGGAAGAAATGAAAGCTTGTGGGTAGTGGTGGAGCCAGGTTGAAAAGACTGGAGATGAGAGTGCGAAATGGCGACGCGCTAGTGAATTGGTATGTTCCACTAGGAACCCAAAGAACAAAAAATAATTTTCAAAAAAATAGTTCGCCGTTTAAAAAAACCCCATTGATTGACTGACCCATCTTCTGTGTGTCTATTTAAATGTAGACGTGATAAAATAAAGTACATTTTGATTAGTTCCTCTCCAGACTAGTCTTTTCTCTCCAACTCCATTAAGAGACTATAAATCCCCACTAAGATGTTTAAATTTAACCCTAATGTAGATCTGTGGTATACATTTATCCAAAGGGGGATAAACTTGTATCGTTTATCCTCAATGGGTAACTGGAATTAACTTCGATTCCAAAATGTTTAAGGATAGGTTTACACAAATAATCCTTTGTCATTGGTATTTACTGCTATCCTTGTCTAAACAGATAAATGTGACTTACTTTGACATAGTTATTGCTGTGACGTTAAAAGTTAAGTTAAACCATAGATTTCCCCATTCAACTAGGTCTGAACATGAAACAGAATTATTGTCACACTTGCTACACTCCAAATCATCTTATCGATGTAGAATGTACCTAGAGGAAAGATAGATAAGTAAGGAAGAAAGTAATGAAACATTAGTAGAAACTCATGAAAGGAGAAGAAGAAGAATAGATGAAGCAATAATGAAATATAATGTAACGATCTGGATGAAGATTCTTAACAATATCACGTACAATCTTCAACCATTCACCTTGGCTGTCAGTCAACCAGGGAGCCTACATTTCTCCACACGGCTTATTACCAACATTTGAAGACTTCATGGACTGATGATACGTTTCAGTGTGACCATGTTTATCCTTTCCTTATTATTATCTTTTTAAAGGCACTATTCAGCTAACTATACAGGTTATATTTCTAGTGACTAGTTACAATACTAAAAATTTGCTTATCTAACTTGTCTCCATGTGATAATACCACACAGACATTGAATGCAGCACAAAGCATACGGTAGATTAATGACTACTCTATTAGTACTCAGAAGGTTATTATCAGGGATCGAAACTAATAATTCAAATATCAACATGTACTGTATGTTGTCGTATAGTTTTGGTAGGGCTGCTTGATACCAAAGAAAAAAAAACACAATACACTGGTATATAATACCATTCACCTTAGTGATAACTTTGTAAAACACCATAGCGGGTAGCTATGGAGTCTAAAACTAAAATTTCTTCCTCGTTGAGATTATTCTGGTAGGCATGCCTACCAGCCAGTGAGACCCAAACCCAACAATCATAGCTTGAAACGCCAGAGCATTATTTCCTAGGCTGCTGAGTCACGTTAGCCATTCTTTGTACTACGGGTACAGCTTTAATGGAATATTTTATAAATTATCGTCAGTGACTCGACCGAATCGACTAACGACTATTGACATATAGACTCAAGCAAGAATGTCTCGATATTGTTGATAGTTTCATTTCATATTAATGATGTTAAAAGAGGGAAAAAGATGCAGTTTCATATTCATTAGTGGGAATTAACTAGTCTTCTTTCAATCTACAGATCATAATTGTCTTTTAGCTTGTTATTTGACGATCAGATTATAACTGCTTAACTCTCATCATATTCTAGTGCATATACAAGTGACTGCTTTCTTGATTCTAACGGTCATTGTTAAACAAACATATGATTGATTGCAAGGTGATATTCATCATGGACTGACATCAGATGGAAAAACATTGGAAATTCAGGAACACTGAGCAGCTGTTTCATCCTAGCACAGGATTCCTCATTAGTGCGCACCTACCACCCCGTCAGAGTCTAAACCCAGAATCCTCAGGTTTTGCACCGAGCACACTGCTGTTCACATATTGAGTCACAAGAAAATGATTTACAATTTCCTGATGAGACTCAGGTATCTATTTCGACCAGTTAGTCCAGTTTACAGTTAACCGGAGGATTATCACTATGGTAATCTTTAGCCGAAAAACAAAATTCACAAATACAAGAATATAGACATGTAATTCTTGGAAAGAACTAAGCCAGTCAGAATGTAGCAAGCAATGAGAAGGATGAGTATATCATGTTAACAGATAAATGTTCTAGTCTTTGAAGTTGTTCAAAAACTGTGGGATATTAAAGGACCAATCAGACAGAATGCTATAGTGTGCAAGAACCAAAATTTTAAACTATTCCAAAGTATAATTGTTTGTATTATACCGTCGTTGATTGGACCGGATTGATTGGTATCTATTAGCATATGGACTCCTCTACAGATGCCTCGATATTACTTATGTTCTAATTATATTAATGATGGATAGTGACTAACAGTGAAATCCAGGATGCGCAGATTGCCCTGTTCGTGAATCGCCAGCTGGATTCACCTGCCTCCCACTGCCTCGAAATGCGCATCTTGGATTCCACTGTTAGCCACTATCCATCATTACTATTCCAAAGTAGTTTTCATCATGGATTAATGAGCATTGCAGGATCGTATAGAACCTCAGGGAACTGGACTTGCGTTTCGTCCCAGTTTAGGACTCTTCGGTGATGTAAACTCAGCGCTGCTTGTTCTTAGGCAAGCAATTTACCACCTGGTCACTGGACCAGGATTCCATATCTCAAGTTTTCCAACTTTTATCAGTTCGAACTTTAATGGTTCTATGCATAATATGGATTCATGATATAAACTCCTTTGAAGTTATTCGCTTCTCTCAAGCAAACCTACAAATTTAGGTTCAAATTGTGTTGATTCACTCTACTGCATCCTTTAACTGAATTTGTTTTGTGAACAAAGCGTGATCTTTACGAGCGAGGGCAATGAAGCAAGAAATTCAGGTTATTGTATTCAAATAAAATTGTTACCGCTTTTATTGCTAAAGTGAACATGAATAATCTGACTCTCATCAACGCTCATATTTTTCATCAAAATTTTCATTTCTTAACTCCATGTGACCATTATGATTCTGTTAAAGGTATTCATCCATTTGTTATATCAGCTCAAAAGTGGGAAATATGAATCTCAGATAAGTGTCATTGATTATATTAGTTTATTTATTTTAAAAGTTATTTTACTTAGGACTACATTGGTATTATTACTGCATAGCTTAGTTCAAGAGCTTTCGATTGACTCCTCAACAATTTATGCATGACGTATAGTTTGGAAATAATTCCATCTTGTGTAAAATTCCTTATTGTGCATTATCCCATATTTTGATGCTTCAAATCAGTCGTTTCATTTCAATAAATTATGATACGTTGTGGACAAGCTACTTAGTTCTGTCTACAACTGAAATAGATCATGTCAGACTATAGGCACACGGCTGTTCTGTTGTAAGCAATTGGGAGGGCCGAAGTACGTAACTCATTGTGTGGGTGGATAGAATACACCAGACTGGGCGAGCGCAATTCTAGGCCAATCACGTACAAGGTCAGAATTCAGACTTAATCGGCAGGGTCACGTGTTTAAGACATTTGAAATCAGATCGTTATAACAATTTTAAATCGGTCTACAATGTTGCTTTTAAGTTGTGTGATATTTTAGCTCATAGATTTTACTGTTACGATTAAAGAGGCATTTCCATTTATGATTGATAGTTAAGTGTTATACATTATTTCAAAAAATAAATACCGTTTGAACTCGTATCAGAGGAGCTCAAAGGCACCACATCCATCCACAAGACATTGAATTTTCGAGTTCATGGTGACGAAGGTTTACAATGCAGAAAAAACTGAGAAAAGATGAAATAGCAATCCCTTAGGACTTACTTTCCGATTTTCTCTTTAACTATAGTTGCTTATTGATTAAAATCTTGTTTAACTCAGCTTTACCTCTTAGTTTGTGAATTTGACTAAATGTTTTCTAACAACCTTTACTTTCATCATGTTTACTATAGCCATCAAATGTCCTGCTTGATTCTGATTGTTCAGTGAAACTATGCGATTTTGGTTTGGCGCGTTCATTGAAAGGTCGAAGTAAATGTGAAAATGGTAATAAAGTCAATTGTAAAACATTATTACCTGCATTGACTGAATATGTTGCAACACGTTGGTATCGTGCACCAGAAATTCTTTTAGCTTGTCATGATTATACTAAAGGTGTTGATATATGGAGTTTAGGATGTATACTAGGTGAAATGCTTACTGGTACACCATTATTTCCTGGAACATCTACATTAGATCAAATTGGACGCATAATGGCTGGACTTCCCAAGTTGAGTAAAGAAGGTAGGCATATGCAACGGAGTGTATTTATAATCTTAATGTCTTTATATTCTTAATATTATATATATTTGTCTGTACTAGATGATGTTTGAAGATGAAATAGAAATCTAGGCCACTGCAGGATTCGAACCAGTAACCTTCTACCTACCACTCAGTATCAATCATATAAGTCTTCCAAATCATGGCTATCTCAGACAGTCAATCTGACAGAAATTTATTGATTGATCCATTTTTATTATCTGTCTTTGGGTTCCTAGTGGAACATACCAATTCACTAGCACGTCGCCATTTCGCACTCTCATCTCCAGTCTTTTCAACCTGGCTCCACCACTACCCACAAGCTTTCATTTCTTCCTCACACCATCTCCTCCATGTCATCCTCAGATGGGACACCCAACTTGTCCTTTCCCATTTGGCTTTCACTCGAGGGTCTGGCGTGGTGCGTGATGTCCCCAATCGGCCTTCTCAGTATATGTCCAATCCATCTCCACTTCCTCTTACTATATATTTGTTGGCCGATAGGTTGTTGCTTCGTTGGTTCATTGTCAGAGTGAGTTTCTCTTTGCTTATTATTATTGTTCTGGCCATCTGATCTTGAGTATCGAGTGAGCGCAGGTGGCAGTTGTTGATGTGTCATATTGATTCATGCTAGCTCCATATATAATTCTTCTACCTGTACTGGAGTCCTAGAAACTGCTATCGGTTTGTTTTAATCAATGCCTTGACGTAAAGTATACAGCTTAAAACACGAATTTCAAAAAGGTTGTATTTTACACGAAACATCAGATTGACAGTGTAAGGATAAAAATCAAAATCGGAGAGCTACTTGTTCTTCAATAAATGGAGTAATATTGTCGTTATTTTAAGTCCTACAAATGTTTCTTTGTGCATTAAACTTTGTTGAGTGTACTTACACATCCGGAACGGCCTAACTGACCTGGAAACGTGAATTGTGGGTTTGGATACACAAAGTTCCGAGTGATAGAACCAGGTGTGTAGTTATGCCAATACTCACAGAAATCTACACATTTCCGGTGGTAGTAGTAGTAGTAGTAGTAGTAGTAGTAGTAGTAGTAGTAGTAGTAGTAGTAGTAGTAGTAGTAGTAGTAGTAGTAGTAGTAGTAGTAGTAGTAGTAGTAGTAGTAGTAGTAGTAGTAGTAGTAGTAGTAGTAGTAGTAGTAGTAGTAGTAGTAGTAGTAGTAGTAGTAGTAGTAGTAGTAGTAGTAGTAGTAGTAGTAGTAGTAGTAGTAGTAGTAGTAGTAGTAGTAGTAGTAGTAGTAGTAGTAGTAGTAGTAGTAGTAGTAGTAGTAGTAGTAGTAGTAGTAGTAGTAGTAGTAGTAGTAGTAGTAGTAGTAGTAGTAGTAGTAGTAGTAGTAGTAGTAGTAGTAGTAGTAGTAGTAGTAGTAGTAGTAGTAGTAGTAGTAGTAGTAGTAGTAGTAGTAGTAGTAGTAGTAGTAGTAGTAGTAGTAGTAGTAGTAGTAGTAGTAGTAGTAGTAGTAGTAGTAGTAGTAGTAGTAGTAGTAGTAGTAGTAGTAGTAGTAGTAGTAGTAGTAGTAGTAGTAGTAGTAGTAGTAGTAGTAGTAGTAGTAGTAGTAGTAGTAGTAGTAGTAGTAGTAGTAGTAGTAGTAGTAGTAGTAGTAGTAGTAGTAGTAGTAGTAGTAGTAGTAGTAGTAGTAGTAGTAGTAGTAGTAGTAGTAGTAGTAGTAGTAGTAGTAGTAGTAGTAGTAGTAGTAGTAGTAGTAGTAGTAGTAGTAGTAGTAGTAGTAGTAGTAGTAGTAGTAGTAGTAGTAGTAGTAGTAGTAGTAGTAGTAGTAGTAGTAGTAGTAGTAGTAGTAGTAGTAGTAGTAGTAGTAGTAGTAGTGGTTTTTGTAGGCTGAGCAAGTATCAGAGATATGAACAGATAACAAGTGAAACTTGTGCACTGTGGTGGAATGTAGTTCTATTTTAATGGATTTCTAATATTTATCACATAGAGAGAAGAAGCAGTATTGCTTACTGGATAACGATGTTTTGGACACAATTTATTGTCTATAGTCATATCAAGATAACTAACTGAACAACTCTGAGACATCTTTTATATAGTCCTAATTTTCTCGTCCCCTTTGTGATTACATGGGTAGTAAAATTTACCATATATTCAGAACAGGTGCTGAGTCATTCCTCTTCCTGTAGGTATTAGGTGTTGACTTGACAAACAAACATTCATTTACCAATCTCTACCCTCCCCAACCTGTTATGTTAGTTTTAAGGACTTCCACCCTGCCTCATCTTAGCGTGTGGTTGTATGTAATCGCATGTATAGCTATGGTTGAGTATTTTTCTAAACTGCTTACCTTAACATTATCTACTAATTTTAATGATGATGGATAGTGGCTAGCAGTGGAATCCAAGATGCACATTTCGTCCTATTTGGGACTCGTTAGCTGGATGTACTTGCCTGCCAGTGAGTGATGTTGTTCCCTCCACGATCCAAAATCGGCAGAAATTGCCTCAAACACCAGAGTGTTATCCACTACACCACCGAGTCACGATATTTGAACCTCGATGAGAACATCATTTACTGGGAGGCAGATGAATCAAGCTGACAAGTCTGAAATTGGATGGAATGCGCATCCTGGACTCTACTGTTAGCCGCTATCCATCATCACTATACATAACTGAAAGATGGGTAGTATCAAGGCATCTGTACAGGAGCCCATGTGTCAAGAGAGACCGATCAATTCGGTCCAATCAACGACGGTATAATACAAGCAATAATGCTCGAATACTTTGTAGACAAATGTCTATAGTATGGCTGTCTACTCGAATTGCTTCGTAGACTTAGAATAATCTCATCCCATCTCAGTTGAAGTGGACTTGCTAAATGTTTAAGTAGAAGAGTAGCAAAGCTAGTAAGTAGGACAGCGAATCCAATACAAGATATTCGGGACATTAAGACTACTCTTAATTCTCACTGGAATTTATGAGTAAATCCATAGAAAACTATGAGAAAAATCTGACTAATCATGGTAACACAGTTGTTAATATATCTCAATAATATTTATACTGGGTGATGAGTGAAGGTGAGACGAAAATTTGGACCACGAGTTCGAACCAGTGACCACTGGATAGTCAAATAATAATATAAATGGTGACACTGTGAAAGCAGAATTTAACACCTCTATTGTTACTATACTAACAAGGCACTTCAGAAGCGTTAGGAAGAATTTTCAACTAGTCTGGGATAAGAATGGCTTTTAAACCTACAAACTGACTATATTGGTGAAAAGATCCTATTGATCCATTGAGACAAGATGATTCCTCACAATAATTGTGAAGTCAAAGTTGGTCAACTAGATCGTTCTAACACAGAAACCTAGCTAACTGAAGATTTGTAGATCTTAATAAGATAAAGAACTTCAATAAAATGTAGACTATACCTTTACATGAGGATACTTGCAATCATGAAATTTGATGGAGCAAACTGATAGTCATTAAAAAAACCAGTTCAGAACAGAGAGAGATTGATAATGCGACATTTGTAGTTCTGATCATCACCAAATATATGCAACAAAATGATTCTCCACCTGTTCCGTATATCTGGATAATTGTGTTACCTTTATCACGAAGAAGGAGAGTGAATTAGACTTATATAGATAACATCTTAAAGTTGTGGAGTCATCTTATATGAATATGGACTGTAAATTATGTTCGAAACGTTATCCAGCAAATAATACCGTTTGACTGTGTGACCTAAAAAGCTCAAGTTTTACTTCCATACTCCCGGTTGTGACTTCATGTTTCGCATAAGAATATATCGCTTCTGTTAAGATAACGATAGGTATTGGTGTCTAAAGTCATCTTACTGAAGGCTGACTAACCACGCGAATCATCTACTCTGATCAGAAAGCAAACGTTGAAGTAAAAAACACGCTAAAAATCTGAGGATTTCGAACTAGAATTTTAAATAAATTTAATTTTCAGAAAAGTATGACAATTCAGTCGAATCCAATCAAGTATAAGAAAATATGAAGCTTTTCTCAGTCAACCAATCACAGTCAAGGTCATTCCCCGTATTGCTTCTATCCTAACCTTTTTAAAGACCACTTCAGCAATTACGAAAATAAGTAATTAGATTCTGATAATTTACTAAAAATATTTATCTTCTCAACCAAAATAGAGACGTCTACTTGATTATTTCAGTAATTAACAGGTTAGTTGTTAAATTCATACTTCAAAAGTAACATTAATCGGAAATATGCAGTCATGGGTTCAAACCTCGTTCCAGTAACTGAGGTTTGGACAGTCAAATAGTAGTGGTATGGCTTACTGCCTACTGTGCTAACGTGTACAAGGTTGCTGATTGCATTTCGAATCTTTTTACGATCAAGTGGGAATGACTGAAATTAGTAAAGTATGAATTTATTAACCTTACAATATGAGACGAAAAAGATATCTACTCTAAAAGAAAATAATAATACGAAACCATGCTGCGAAGAGAATATCTGGTATATTGACATATTTTCTATTGAATATTGTACAAAGAAAACTTTATTTTTAACTAATAATATTTCTCTGGAAGTTTGGAAATGTGTGTATTGCTTTGAAACGTGAATACGTATAAACTAGTGTATGCACACACACAGAGATAATTGCTTTGAGTATTGACACTGAAATTCTTATTGATTTTAGATTTTTCTAATGAACACGATACCCTATCAGGTTAACCTAAACTCTGAAATGTACACCATTTAGATCTCAGCATGGAATCGGTTCTTTGTATCAGGTGAAAATAAAAGGCAAAAATGAGACTGAATTACCTCTATGAAGAATTGTTTTGTTTTGTCAAAGATTTGTACTAAATTTGATAAACCATTCAGGTGTTTATCAGCTAGTCCGATAAATAATTAACTAGTCGATAAAACTCACAATGTGATTGGCTAAAATTAACCACATTTTTGATTAGTTTATCAGTTCAAGGTCATGTTGGGCAAGGTTATGTGCATTCACCTATCAAATTGTGG